CCTCACACTCAAACACTGAGCAGCTGTCTGCGCCACGCTGGAGCGGCTGCTATGATTCTGCCACCCAGCTCTGGCCTGGAGGTAACTGTGGGTGTCCTCTCTCTGCAGGTCGGCGATCATAAGTTCAGCGCTCACCGGATTGTCCTGGCTGCCTCCATCCCGTACTTCCATGCCATGTTCACCAATGACATGGTGGAGTGCAAACAGGATGAGATCCTGATGCAAGGCATGGATCCCAGGTAACCCCTCAACAGGCGCAGGCATGCATACTAACACATTCCATTGGGGCGACGATCGCCCGTAATCTGAAGGTTGCTGGTTCAAGCCTCGCTCAGTTGTCGCCATCATTGTGTTCTTGGCAAGACACTTAACCCGCCTTGCCTGCTGGTGGTGGTCAGCAGGCAAGGCGGGTTGTCGCTCATCCACACCAGAATGTGAATGGGTGTATCAATGGGTGAATGACTGACCTTGTTGTGAAGTGCCTTGGGGGTTCCAGGACTCTAGAATGCACTGTATTAAATACAGACCATTTACCATGTCAAAGAGAGTAAAATGTTATTATCAAGAGAGGGAGAATGTTTAAGTGATTAGCAGCAGTGTGCTAGCCGATGGCCCCCTCCATGAGGCCACCACAGCTCAGCAAAACATCATTGTAGCTTCTTCTGGGGGGGGAAACACTTAGAGAAAAAATAAAGTTAACAGCTGAAATTGCAGGAAATAGTACAGTTAAAGAGCAGATTGTAGAAGAAAGCAGTAGAGCGTGGAAAGTGGTCAGTGTATCCTCCAGCAGTCTAAGCCTATAGCAGCATAACTACAGAGATAACTCTGGATAACCTAGCCTTTTTAGATGGAGGCATAATGGAGGCAGGGCAAGGGAGAGTCGTCTTTACCGACTGTACACTCCACCTCCCTCTACTCCCCCACTTGTCCAGATCTGGGCTGACATCAGATTTTAACCATAGGCCCTATCAAATAAAAATGTTTTAAGCCTAGTCTATTTTTAGACATACTGGGAACCACCAGTAAACCTGCAGTCTGAGAGCGAAGTGTTTAGTTAGGAACGTATGGAACAATCAGATCACTGATGTATGATGGAGCTTGATTATTGAGAGCTTTATATGTGAGAAGGAGGATCTTAAAAATCTATTCTGAATTTAACAGGTAGCCAATGTAGGGAAGCTAAGACAGGAGAGATATGATCTCTCTTTTCTCATTCTCATCAGAACTCTAGCTGCAGCATTTTGGACAAGCTGAAGACTTTTAGCTACATTCTGTGGACTTCCTGAGAGTAATGGATTACAGTAATCCAGTCTTGATGTAATAATGCATGAACTAGTTTTTCAGCATCACTCCTGGAAAGGATGCTTCTTACTGGGGCCGTGAGATCTGACAATATAAGATTGTTAAGGATTATAAAGTGATGAAAATCTACCAAAGCTTGGAGATCGTTGAACTGTCTATTTACGTTCTATCACTAGAGCTGAGGAAAATAATCAAATAATCGATTCATCGGGATGTGGACATAACGATTCTGCATCGTAGAAGAGTACGCCATAATCGATTAGAGTGGATTGTAGTTTTTGTTTTAACAGTGCCACCAGTGCAGTATCCAATCTGTCAGAGTGAGTCTCCTCCACATTTACAAGTGGTTCCGCCTTAATGTGGTACTGCAGGGCTGAGCGCTAGAGTTGTAACCTGAGACCGAACCGAATCAGCCCGACCGGTTCTGTTGGATTTGGGCCGTGAATGAAGTTAATTGAGCGGGTTGTCACATCGCAAGCTCCGCTCGCTCGCACAGCAACAGAGAGAGAGAGAGAGAGAGAGAGAGAGAGAGAGAGAGAGAGAGAGAGAGAGAGAGAGAGAGAGAGAGGAGAGAGAGAGAGAGAGAGAGAGAGAGAGAGAGAGAGAGAGAGAGAGAGAGGAGAGAGAGAGAGAGAGAGAGAGAGAGAGAGAGAGAGAGAGAGAGAGAGAGAGAGAGAGAGAGAGAGAGAGAGAGAGGAGAGAGAGAGAGAGAGAGAGAGAGAGAGAGAGAGAGAGAGAAGAGAGAGAGAGAGAGAGAGAGAGAGAGAGAGAGAGAGAGAGGAGAGAGAGAGAGAGAGAGAGAGAGTGGGGGGGGGGGGGGGGGGGGGGGGGCAGGCAGCGGACCTTTAATTATCTTTTTATTTTTACTGTTTGTGGTGATTTTTAAACACACAAGTAATATCTAAAAACCATACAATAGGTCACAATATTATATTTTAAAAACAAAAGTACAGCAAATCCCCCTGTCTCATCAATGGTTTGATCCTGCTCACCTTCCCAGGCTCGGCTCCAAGCCTCCTGATTGGCTGATAAGCTGCGGTTAGGCTGGCCAAGGTTCCTGCTTTCTGAGGGACGGCCGTGAATTTACATTATTTTTCACAGGTGCTGATAATTGAGACTCCGTCCCGCATTTTTGACTGTCTCCAATTTCGTCTTTTATAAACTGATTGTGAGGCAAAAAAAGCTGCTGTCAATCAAGCTAGGAGGCGGGGCTTAGGGTTAGGGTTAAAGCTGCTAATCAGACTGGTAATGAGGTTCTAACACAGACATGCTTGTTTTATAGCCAAACAGTTCAAATAATCTATTTTAAGCCTTGATTATTTATTCTGAGAGAAGCGTCAGAACATTAAGTTTAAATCTAACCTTTGTCAGAGATCAAAGTCTGTGGTTGTTGTTTTCTCCTCCCTAAATGTTGGCAGTAGGAGATAAAAACCACCAATTTGTTTTTGTTAGTTTTTAAAATTAAGAAGAAAAAAAGGACAAATGATCAAAGTTTGGATTTATTTTTCAATGGTATGTTGATATTAGTGGGAAATTGTGTGAAAATAAGTATAAATTGATGTAAAAGGTATTACTGGTACTTTTAGTGTCATTCTATTGTGGAAATTCAGACAAAGATAAAAGACTGGCTTCAGTTTCAGGTTTCCAAATATTAAAGGACAATTTCAACCAATTTTTCCACTCATGAGCCTCTTTAATCTTTAATCTGCTCTTACCGTATTTTGAAACGACAACATCTGGCTGGACCGGTGGTTCCAACCTGAGGCCCGAGGTCCCCACATACAAGCGCCTCGTAGCTTTTATCTTACATAGAAGATCGTTTGCTTTCTTTCTTTCCTAATACTAATATACTTGTGATGTACCTGTTAACCCAGAGCAGTACTATTACACCCTCTACCTACCTAGTTGCCCAGTATGGACCTGTGTGGAACCAGTAACCATGTTCTCTTGTGGTGCAGCGCACTGGAAGCGCTCATCAACTTTGCCTACAGCGGTCATGTGGCCATCGACCAACAGAATGTTCAGGCTCTCCTGATTGCCTCCAGCTTCCTGCAGCTCCAGAACGTTAAAGATGCCTGCTGCTCCTTCCTGCAAGACAGGTGAGCACCAGCACACTCCCAGTCCCTCTCACAGACCAGTTCCAGCTGGTCTCATTTCAACCATCAGCTGTGCTTTCTGCTGCGTGGTGTCAGGTTACATCCCAAAAACTGTCTGGGCGTGCGGCAGTTTGCCGAGGCGATGATGTGCACGACATTGTACGACTCCGCCAACACCTTCCTCCACCAGCACTTTGTAGACGTCTCCTTATCCGAGGAGTTCTTGGGTCTGAGGACGGAGGAGGTCCTGGAGCTGGTGGCCTGTGATGAGCTCAATGTGAAGGCAGAGGAACAGGTGAGTCGCCAGCTCAGGCCACCTCATGAGACCCCGTTGAGCAGGTGTGTTGATGGTGTCATACCTCTGCAGGTGTTTGAGGCCATGTTGGCCTGGGTTCATCATGACCCGGACCAGAGGAAGCTCCTGCTGCCCGAGCTCCTGTCAAAGATCAGACTTCCTCTGTGTCAGCCTCAGTTCCTGTCCGACCGCGTTCAGCAGGAGCACCTGATTCGCTGCTGCCATAAATGCAGGTGAGGCTGAACACACCTGTTGCTCATTTTCACTCCAGACTCAAACTGGTTGACTAGTCTGCACCCAGTCTAACCAGTCTATGGTTCTGATGGGTTCTGATGACTGCTCTCAGAGATCTGGTGGATGAAGCCAAGGATTTCCACCTGGTCCCAGAGAGGCGCCCTCACCTGCCCACCTTCAGGACCAGACAGAGGTGCTGCACATCTGTGTCAGGATTCATCTATGCAGTGGGTGGACTGAACAGCTCAGGTAGAGCTCACCTGTCGCTTCAGATAAAAGAACTTACCTCATCAGGTGGATCTCATCTGGATCTTGCTGTGCTGTAGGTGACTCTTTAAATGTGGCCGAGGTCTTTGATCCAGTGGGCAACTTCTGGGAGCGATGTCAGCCAATGAGGACAGCTCGCAGCAGAGTGGGCGTGGCTGTTGTCAACGGGCTGCTGTATGCTCTTGGCGGATACGACGGCCAATCGCGGCTCAGTACAGTGGAGGTGTACAACCCAGAGACAGACACCTGGGTTCAGGTGTCGAGTATGAACAGCCGGCGCAGGTCAGTGCCGATTAAGCATTGATGCTGGGATCAATCAGATGATTGTGACGCTGAGACTGTGATGTCATTCTTAGCGCCATGGGAACCGTTGTGATTGACGGGCACATCTATGTGTGTGGTGGTTATGATGGGAAGTCATCTCTGAACTCAGTGGAATGTTACTCTCCCGAAACCGACAGGTGAGTTCACACACACACACACACACACACACACACACACACACACACACACACACACACACACACAAACAAATACGCGCACACACACACATACATACCGTAAATCCTCTAATATTGGCCTGTATTCCATTACTGGCCGGGTCTCCTACATTAGCCGGCCTTGCGGTCAGCGGGATAAATAAAGGCCGGTCTCTAATAGTGGCTGGCTTCACGGCACAAACCCAGCCACAGTTTTGACAACTTTAAAGTACTATTGATCTTAAAATACTTTTAAGTACTGTTGATCTTAAAATACTTTAATAAACAGCATACTTACTCACGTTAATGGAGTAGTCTCACAAAACACGACGGCAAGTGTGATCACGTATAAACTATAGAGTCACTTACCAATTCCCATTCTGAAGTCCCGCGTGATGTGACTATTGCGCGACTTTCCGAGAAGCGCTCAGCTGCGCGGCGCTTCCTGTGTGAGCCCTTGACTTCTCAAGATCACCGCCAGCGTGCCCCAGGCATTATTTACTGTGTTGACTGAGTGCGCCACAAAGGACTTACTGAAACTAACTTACCGATCGAAGAGGACAGGACAGGAGACCCATACTCTAACAATGAGCCTGGCCTGCCCCCCCGGTATACTCCACTGGCCCCATCTGCTCCTACCAACCCAGCCCTGATTTTAACAGTAAATCACATATCGGACTTGGACCTTGCCGTACCTCATTCATACCTGTTATTATCAGCAGAGAGCTGACAAACAATCATAAACCCAACAAAAGCAACCCCAGTAATCTAAAACAGTTACCAAAAGTCCCACCTTCAGTTAATGCAGTCACTTCGTCACCAGGTACTATTAATTTCTTGTAAATGTTCGTTCTCTGCTGAGCAAAACGTTTTTAATAAATGACCTGATTTTAGATCGTAATCTTCACTGTCTGCGTTTAACAGAAACGTGGCTGAGTTCAGATGCCCCTGTTGTTCTCACAGAGGCCTCTCCGCCAGAGGAGTAGCAAAAGGGGAGGCAGTACTGCTTTTATTAGTTCATCAATACTTTCTGCCAAACCTGTTTTATTTGATCATTTTACCACTTTTGAATATACAGCAGCAGTTTTTAGCTCTCCTCAGATTTTATGTGTCACCGTTTATCAGCCTCCTAAGCAGAGTGCCATTTTTATTCAAGAATTTTCAGTTTTTGTCAATCCTTCACAACTCCTTTGAAAGGATCCTTTTAGCCGGTGATTTTAATCTACATATAGACAATCCCTCTGATCCTTCTTCAAAGGAGTTTTTAAATATTCTGAATTACATGGATTTTAGTCAACATGTCATGCAGCCGACTCACAACAGAGGACACATCCTGGACTTGATCATCACCCATGGCCTGTCCACCAGTGTGTCCTCTGTTGTTGACTTGGCTGTCTCTGACCACTACTGTGTGTTCTTTAGCATCACCAGTTTTATCCAGCTGGAACCCTCTGTGAGAACTGTAAGGAAGCGTCATCTCACCCCTGAAGTGGCTGCTGGTTTTCTTGAAGTTTTTAGAAAGATCCCTCCCACCCCAGTAACTGCCTACATACACACACACATACTGACATACACACATATGCACACACACGCCTGCATGCAACGCTGTTTTCTACTCCCGTTTGTTTTGTTCCATGGGTTTCACACGTTTAGAGAACGAACTGATTTTCAAACGGGAGCAAAAGTTATTTTAGGATTTGTGTGAAAATAAGTCCAGAAGCAGACAGCAGCACAGCGAAAAGGGCTGTAAGTTTAGCGAACTTCAAACCCTTCTTTCAGGAGGAAAGAACCATAAATCTGGTCCTGTGGTGAGTAGCAGCTACGCTAGGGGGTAGAAGACTCTATGGTGATGTCATATATGCGACGTGCCGATGTCTGATTTGTAGTCATGCTAAGAACAAACTTTTACAAGCTGATAAATCTCAAAGTATGTGACGGCGTGGTGGAAACACCCATCACTGGTTTTCAAACAGAAGTATGGCGTGTGTGTGATTCAGGGTCTGAGGCAAAGCGGGTTAGAAAACAGCTCTTTGCCCCGTTCAGGGACCCGTGAGCCAACCGGAGAGGGAGGAGCCTTAGGCTCCCTGTTGATGGCATCTGGTAGCATTCTGCAGCTGCTAAGAACAAACGTTGGCTTAAACCTTTACCCCGCAAGGAAAGTTGACCACTGAGCAAGGCTGATGGTTTATCCCTTGGTTCCATGTGGCAGGGGTGAGGAGTGATCACCACCTCACCCCTGCCATGTGGACTTCAAGGGATAAACCATCAATCCTGCTCAATGGTCAGCTTTCCTCGCGGGGTCACCCATAAAGACAGTGGGAGGGTTAATTAAGGTTTGGTTATTATTTCCCAGGTTTTTTTAGCTCTTCATAAGCCTTCAGCTTGTCCATTTGAACCCATCTTCACCATGAGCATGCTAGCATTAGCATTAGTCAAACTGCTGGTAGTTTAACTCTTGATGCCAAACTTTGGACCGTTTCTGCCTTTTATGAAGGTTTGTGTCCTTGCTGGTTCTCAGTTTTCCTCCAGTAGTGTGATCACTTCACCAAGCTGAATCAAATCAATGAATCAAATCATTCAGTGACTCCCTTCAGCCCTATACTGGATTACAAAGACTGTGGCTGTAGGAGCGTTTTATTTGTGTTTGCACCCACAAGGCAGGACAATCCAAGCTCTCTGATTGGCTGAAACTGTCCAAGCTTCTGCTACTTTTTCAGTTAGAGATGGTGCTGCAGCTGGAGAACCTGTTAAAGATTCTCCAGGAATGTTCTAGTTTCTGCAGATGTAACGCAAATTTAAACACACTTTACCAACGCACCTGTGCGGCTCCGCAGGTGGACGGTGGTAACAGAGATGAGCGTGAGCCGTAGCGCCGTTGGTGTGACGGTGTTTGATGGGCGGATCTTTGTGTCAGGTGGCCATGATGGTCTGCAGATCTTCAACACGGTCAGTTTGAACCAATCAGAGCAAGCTTGTCTAGTTTTGTGTACCTTTGTCTGATGCTGCCTTCCTTGCAGGTGGAGTACTACAACCACCACACAGACCGCTGGCACCCAGCAGTGGCCATGTTGAACAAACGTTGCCGTCATGGCGCAGCAACACGTGGCAGCCACATGTACGTGGCAGGTGGGTATGATGGCTCGGGCTTCCTGAGTGGTGTGGAGGTGTTCAGCTCAGCTTCGGCGCAGTGGAGCCTCCTGGTGGCCATGAACACACGGCGCAGCCGAGTGTCATTGGTATCTACAGCAGGTCGCCTGTACGCAGTGGGTGGCTACGATGGACAGTCCAACCTCAGCTCTGTGGAGATGTTCAACCCGGACACCAACCGCTGGACCTTCATGGCCCCCATGGTGAGCCACGAAGGGGGGGTAGGTGTCGGCTGCATCCCCCTGCAGCCTGTATAAATGCACCAACCACCGAACAGGACCGACACTTTACAGGTGGCAGGGGCGGGGCCTCGGGTGGTGTCTGCTGAGCTTTGTGGTACGAAGGCCAGGCTCACACCTGCACAGTGACGCCAGGCCCACACGGCATTCTGGGAACAAAGTGTAGCGCTAGCCTGCTTGTAGCACATGTGTGATTAATTTATGTTCATTTGTGATTGATCAGCTACCTGATGGTAGGAGCTCCAGATGGCCCAGACAGGAAATTACATCATGTCTGAGGTTTTCTTGAGGTCCAGCAGCACCCTCTACAGGCCATCCTAGTCCTGGTCTGTTTGAGCCTGCTCAGTCCATGTTATCTACAAGGTGGCGGAGAGACACCCTCTCCTGAGGAGTGGAGCCAGAAGCAGAGCCGGCGTTTACATACAAACCTGGACAGCATTTCCTAAATGGTTTTTCAGTGTGATGTCATGTCAAGATTTAATATAAAAGACTTTATTCTGAAATGTGGCTGAGCTTTTGTCTCCCTCCAATCGTGTTCACAGTGAGTGTTGGTGCAGAACCTGACCCAACCTAGAACCGCTCAGGTTCTGATGCAAACCCTTACCAGTTGTTAGTTACAAAGCAGTTTTGCTGCAGGTCTGGTCTTTGGTGTGTTCTGAGAGACGTGCAACTGGTCACGATGTGGCAGTGGCTTAGCCTAACCCACAGTTAAGACGTTCCCATTCAACGGGACAAAGCTGAACTTTGGGACTGGTTACCCGAGTCAGTGTGACGGTTTGTTTGTTTGTTTGTTTGTTTAAGGGTCCCCATTAGTATCCACCAAAGTAAGGGCTATTCGTCCCAGGCTGCTGTGTTAGTCATCAGTCTAAGCGAAAAAAGCAAGTTGGACAATGGTAATGGTAGTTTGGCCTTAGCTGTAGTTCCTCAGGCCTTCAATTACACCGTTAACTCAATCAATCAAATTTTATTTCTAAAGCGCTTTTCAAACAAAGTGTGATTCAAAGTGCTTTACAAAATGACCCCAGATTCCCATAACAGGTTAAAAACATTAACAAACATATGCACACACACACAGACACACACACACACAAGTAAAAATAATATTAGGCTGAGTCCAGATGAGCCAAGTATGGTAACGCAAGGAAACGCCATCAGAGGAGCCGTCTGTCCCGACAGCATCAGGTCTTCCACACTAAGTCAGGGCGCTCATTGGAGGGGGAGCATAGACCCCCACCTATAGAGCACCCAGGAAGCTGCAGTCGACCACCGCTCCCGGGGCAGGGGGCCCCTACAGAGGAAACACTGGATTAAAATGAGTAAAAATGTAATAAAAGAGCAAATATAAATGACAAAAATTAGAAAATAAGTAATAAAGAAAATGATATAGACAGTAAAATAATAATTTAAATAATAAAACTGTGCTAAAATATAATCATATAGAACATGCAAAGCAAGTAATAAAATATAATCATGTAAAACTATAAATAAAACTAGTAAATATTTAGGTAAAAGCTAACCTAGGAGAGGGGTCTTGAGTCTTGACTTAAAAACATGAACGTTCTCTGCGGCCCTGAGGTCCTCTGACAGCTTGTTCCAGAGGCGAGGTCCATAACACTGGAAGGACGCCTCGCCGTGAGTTTGTGTCCTGACTTTAGGGATGACCAGTAGACGCCTGCCAGAGGAGCTCAGAGGCCGCGAGGGTTCATATGATAAAAGCAGTTCTGAGCGATAAGAAGGCCCAAGACCGTTAAGACACTTAAAAACCATTAGAAGAACCTTAAAATTGATCCTGAAACATACGGGGAGCCAATGCAATGATTCTAAAACTGGTGTCATGTGCTCCCGCCTCCTGGTCTTCATCAGGAACATACTTCTGAGTAGAAATGATGAACTGGAACACACCCCAAAGTCAGAGAATGTTTTTATTCAACTTCGAGGTTCAATACAGCAACTCTTTGTAATAACACTAGTAGCTGTGGTAGAAACATCTTTATTTTATTAGATAAAACTTGTGAGGGTGCATCTTAAGTCCATGTTATGTACAGTTGTCCATTTTCCGAGGAAAAAGGAACGCACCATGACATCCGTTCTCCACACAGCATAGACATGAAAGAGTAGACACCGGCCGCTACTGCCAATGGTGGTGACATTTGTGGGTTTTGCATTTTAAAATCTATGGTTAACATGCTGTTTTAGCTAGGCTTTAGCTCTGTGGCGCTCTGGAATGCAAACGTTAAAAGAGCTCGCTCATCAACCTGTTCGCGCATGCCAGAATGAACACTTTTACATTCGTCAGGCAAAACAAGAACAAGTTCAGTTCACGTTCACACAAAACGCGAACAAGTTCAGTTCATGTTCACTTAAAATGCAAACAGGTTCAGTTCACGTTCACACAAAACCAGAACAACTTCTTGAACAATTGTTCGGGCACAACACCGCCTGGGGGGGTCCCTCAAGGTTCTGTCCTTGGACAGTTACTGTTCACCCTTTATTTTCTGCCCTTAGGAGCCATTTTCAGACAGCATGCAGTTTCGTGTCACTTATAAGTGGACGATTGCTAAATACTTTACTCTCAAGCCCACTGAGTCATCAAGTCTGCTTGATTGTCTTTGTAACATCAAAGAGTGGCTGGCTGAAAACGTCCTCCATCTCAACGACTCAAACGGAGGTTAGAGCAGCCCCGCCACCTAACGACCTCTCTCTCCTCTCATGTGACCTCAACTCCAACCTTGGAGTAAAAATGGACGCTCAGGTTAAAAGCACAGTTAAGTCCTGTTTTTACCACCTAAAAATTATGGTGAAGTCCAACTAGTTGTCACACACCTGTGTGTGTGTGTGAACTTTGTTCTCCGCATCTGACCCATCCCCGTGGGGAGCAGTGTGCTGCAGTCACGGCCGTGGTAACCCAGAGGAGGAGGCACTGGGTCTCATGTTTTCTAAGTCTTTGTTATGACCTGACCAGGAGTTGAACCCCAATCTCCCAGTCCCAGGGCGGACACCATAGGCCACTGAGCTGGCAAATTTCCCAACTCAAGCCGATTCTGAGTCAGTGTCACCTAGAATCCATGGTCCAGCATGACTACTCCAACTCCTGCCTTTATGGCATTAGCAAAGCTGCTCTGTCCAGACTTCAACTCATTCAGGAAGCAGCAGCAAGGTTCCTGATCAGAGCTAATATAAGACAACACATTACACAGATTCTCAAATTTGGTTGCCGGTTCAATTTAGGATTAATTTTAAAATTCTTTTAGTTTTCAAGTCCTTAAATGGTCAAGCCCCTTCCTGAGTGTGTTGCTCCACCGCTACCACCCTCCTCAGGTCTGCAGATCAGCACCTCCCCTCTGTTCTAAGGCACGTTGCTAACGCTGTGGTGAAATGATCTTCTCTTTATGTGCACCAAAACTCTGGAACTCCTCACCTCCAGTTTAGGCAAGCACCTTCAATTGGCGCATGTTCTTGTCTGAAAACAAACTTTCTCCTTGGCTTTTAGCTCTTAAACCTAGTCTAGGTTTTCCATCTTGGTCGCTTCATTTCCCATTTGTTGTATTTTATGGTTCTAACTGCTTGTCTGGTTTACTGCCTGTGATTAAGCTTTGGTCAGCTGTAACTGCTGTGTTAGAAGCACTCATGAAGTTAAAGAGCAAGTACCGCCTAAATGAACTTGCTTTGCTGATAACCTGTATAGATGAGTGTCTAATGGTGCTGCACACACATGTGATCTATAGTGTGGCAGTTTAGTGCAACTGACTTTAAATGTAATAATTCAGCCCAAAACCGTAATTCTATCTCCATCATCAGGTTAAAACTCTGCTCCACATTCATGTAGAACCAGCTGATGGCTGATGGCTAAGCTGAAAAACGTTATCAGCAAAGCACTACGTGGCTGCACTGCACTGGTCTCCAGGTGAGGCAGCCTCACCTCCACCTGGCTCAGCCACTCACCTGCTGGTATGACATGTTAGCACTCTGAGCCGCTCGCCTCCTTGAAAAAAACGCCCTCCTCCCCTTTTCATCTAATGGCGGTTTAAACAAAATAAGAATCCGCACACTTCAATCTGCGATGTAGGAGTTTATTGGTCAAGCTTTCGGTCAGAGGCCTTCATCAGGAGTTGTGGAGGTTCACACCAAACAATCCTTAGTTAAACAGGTCATTTGATTTAAAACACCTGTGTGGCTGAATATAGCAAAGTATCATGGGAAATGTAGTCTCAGACAATGAAAATATTCCACTTAATATTAAAAACATTCTAAAGCAGCTCAGGAAGTGAGAGGTTTGTACGTCGCAAAACATCAAGCTAAAAATGCCATCATACAGCAAGGCAGAGAAGTATAAAAACACAGCAGTGTATACCGTCTTTAAAGAAACACAGACATCTCAAAGTCCTCATTTAAACCTAGTGGTTGAAGTGTGTTGACCAATAAACTCCCACATCGCAGATTGAAGTGTGTTATTTTGTTTATTCCACTTTTTGATCCAGCACCTTTCCCAGACGAGCGGTGACTCCTTCTACATCTACATGAAATCCTCCAGAATGCTGCAGAATCAGTGTCTGCTCTTCTCCTGAGCGGTAAGTCTTGTGTGCTTGTGTGCACGCGCTCGTTAACAACTCGTTTTTAGACTGCGAAACTCCGACGGCGCTTGAGGAGGGTGCGGTCTACCACTGCCTCAGTGCTGCTCTCTCGGTCCGCCAGGCCGCGCCTCTTTCAGAAGAGTTTTCCTAACAGGAAGCGTGGATGACATATGTCTCCACCCATGCCTGGTCCCTCTCTTTAACTGGTATAGTAACTTAACCAGAACCCTAAGAAGGCGCTGTCCCAGGGGTTAGGCTCAGAGCCTCCTTCTGCTGATTTACCTCCTACAAGGTAAGTTTATCATCAGTAGGTGAATAACCTCTGGTGTCTGATGGATCAGAACCTGTGGAGGAACTTCAGTTTCATCACACCTTCACTTTTCCACATTTCCACAAAGCGCCTGAACACACCATCAGATTCAGCTACTGTCACTTTTATTTTGAAAGCACCAAAGCAGGAAACACTTTACTTGAAACATTTGTGCTCCTCTGGACTCTGCTTTGAAGCGGGTCCAGAATCAGAATTCTCAGGTCTGGGTCGGTCCAGGATCTTGAACACGGTACATTCTGAAAGTCTTTATTCAGGTTTTTCCAGCATTCACACCCATACACCTGCCCAGGTAGAAACCAGGTCAATTTCTCACAGTCCATATTGGTCTGCAGGAACAAGTTCCTGCACACTGATCACAGAGAAGAAATTCCTGTAGGTGCTGGAGCTTCGGTCCTGGAGGTGGCAGCAGCAGAAGACTCTCCGTGCACACCTGAACAGCTGCACATGTGAGTTCAGTCGTTAATTCACATGCAGTCAACATTCTGAATGTAAAGAGCAAGTCACCCTCCAATCACAAATCAACGCATTAAGCTTTGGGGGAGGGGGGCTGTCAATTACTGCCTCAACGACACCTTGTGAGCAAGACTGATCAGGGGGTGACCAAACCCAGTCACCTTGTGGGTAGGGTTAATGACTCCACCTGTCTTTTAATTATTAAAAGTAAAATTAAAATACCTTCATTCAAATTCATGTTTCATCACAACTTCAGACAAGGCCCTCAATTAGACTCACCTGAACTCATCCAGACTCACCTGGGGACTCATTTATCAAGCTTGCTTACGCACAAAATGGGGTCGGAAAACTGCGTAAGCAACTTTCCACGCAAACTTTGGGATTTATGAAATAAAACGTAGCGGAAAAATGTGCGCAACTTTAAGTTGACTAAGGATCTGGTTTACGCACATTTTGGACATGGAGAGCACCTGCAGTGCTGCTGCTGAGAAGGACAAAATTATGAAATCCTGCAGCATTATCACTTGTACTGCATCGTTTTCACACAGAACAAGACCCCCACACTCACACACACGCGTGCACACACACACACACACACACACACACACATACACACGCACAGCCTGAAGCGCAGAATATCACCAAGGGGACAGATTGAGACAGAATGTCATGCGTCTGTAACAGTGTGTGTGTGTCCTGTCACTGTGACCCGATTGATCATGCGCCCTGGCTACATGGACAATGGAGATCTCCGTTTGGCTGACTGGTTAGCTCATGTGAATTTCACCCGGGAGTCTGGGGATTGAATCCTGATCAGACCATTTTTTATATCCGCCACAGATCTCTCAGAAGAACTCAGCATTGACGGCTTCAGCAACGATGTGCCACTCCGTGGATTTTCTCTTATTTGTTTTGCAAAAGCACTTCCTTTCATTTCTCCACGTCACCCACAGGTACCTCAATTTCTGCTTGGGAAATAGTGCTTCCTTGATCTGCGGTCGTGATCGAAATGCTGCAACAAGCCAGCATATGTATATGCATGAGGTCCACAAGGCACTTTGCACTGACTATTTATGGCAGAAAGTGGGCGTGGTGAGGGCGGGATGTGACTAAAAAGCAGCTGAGAAACATTTCTAGATAGTTTCTGATTTATGAAGCTGAGATTGCGTGCAGTTGTGCGTACTCCATGTTTGATAGATCTCAAACCTACTTGGCGTAAGTACTTTTTTTTCTGAGCTTAAGTAGGTTTTAGTAAGGATTCTACGCAATGGTTGATAAATGAGACCCCTGGACTCCAGACTAACCTGGACTCATCCAGACTCACCTATAGGATGTCTCTGAGATGTGAGGTGTGACTCACTGTGGACTGGTGGCCAGCAGGAAGCGGCTCTCCTCTCCATCCAGGACACCATGGTACAGTCCAATCTCCTGCTCTAGTTTCTGTTTGTTGCTTAGCAACGTATCGAAGTCGCGGCGCTGCTGCTCCACCTCGTTGTGCACATCAGCTAGCTCCGCCTCCAGCTTAGCCACCACCTGACCGAGGTTCTGCAGCTCCACACTGTGCCAGTGCTGAGCATCGGTCAGCGAGTTCTCCAGACCTCGTTTCTGTAGAGGATGGAACCCACCAGATTATCGATGAGTGGACTGACCCGGTCAATGACAAACGCAAGTCTCGTTGGTGTTAACTCATCCAGGGTCGCTCACAGAAGGTGCAGCAGGATTTCTAAGACATTTTTCAGCCATCTTGAGTCTGTATTTTCTACCGGCTTCGATTCAAAGTTTTGATGTTTGTCCACAAAGCTCTTCTTGATCTAGCAGCCGCCCTCACACCCCTTTACCTGCTGAAGGAGCGATGGATCCCGGGAGTGGCTCTACGTGCATTAGGCTCCATCTTAACCCGGTTTAAATGTATTCTTAAGTCCAGTATATCTACTCAGTGGTCTGCTCTGGTGCTCATCCTTTTCTTCCTCACTAGTTCTGTTTTCATTTTTATTCTCACTCTTTATTTTCTTCATTTTTCATTTCCCCCATTTAATTATTATCATTTGAAATCTGTTTTGAAATGTTTCAGTGTTTAGATTCCCTTATTGTCCTTGTCGGCACAGTGAGCGTGCAGGAATGAAGGGTTAGGGTGCATAACAGAGGCAGTGAGACGGGTTAGGGTGCTGAACAGAGGCAGTGAGATGGGTTAGGGTGCTGAACAGAGGCAGTGAGACGGGTTTGGGTGCTGAACAGAGGCAGTGAGACGGGTTTGGATGCTGAACAGAGGCAGTGAGACGGGTTAGGGTGCTGAACAGAGGCAGTGAGATGGGTTAGGGTGCTGAACAGAGGCAGTGAGACGGGTTTGGGTGCTGAACAGAGGCAGTGAGACGGGTTTGGATGCTGAACAGAGGCAGTGAGACGGGTTAGGGTGCTGAACAGAGGCAGTGAGACGGGTTAGGGTGCTGAACAGAGGCAGTGAGTCAGGTTAGGGTGCTGAACAGAGGCAGTGAGACGGGTTAGGGTGCTGAACAGAGGCAGTGAGACGGGTTAGGGTGCTGAACAGAGGCAGTGAGTCGGGTTAGGGTGCTGAACAGAGGCAGTGAGACGGGTTAGGATGCTGAACAGAGGCAGTGAGACGGGTTAGGGTGCTGAACAGAGGCAGTGAGACGGGTTAGGATGCTGAACAGAGGCAGTGAGACGGGTTAGGATGCTGAACAGAGGCAGTGAGACGAGTTAGGGTGCTGAACAGAGGCAGTGAGACGGGTTAGGGTGCTGAACAGAGGCAGTGAGACGGGTTAGGGTGATGAACAGAGGCAGTGAGACGGGTTAGGGTGATGAACAGAGGCAGTGAGACGGGTTAGGGTCACATTTGAGTACATCGCTGTTTTTGTTGTTTATGGGTCAGCCGTCAGTGGACTAATAAAGCTGTAAGTTAATGACCTGGTTGGTCTAGTCATGGATGAGGTGGTCAACCAGGTCAGCGTTCATGTGTCTCACCAGCGCTCTGATGGACTCCGTCTCGGCCTGAAGACTCTGGATTTTGCAGCCAACATCACCACACTCCACCTTCAGTGCCTCCACCTGCTCCTCCTCTGGGCTCGAGCTGCTACCCACACATTGTGCCTCCTGCTGAAAACACACACACACACACACACACACACACACACACACACACACACACACACACACACACACACACACACACACACACACACACACACACACACACACAGGTTAGATACACTTGTGAAGTAACCTTACAGATGTCTCATCCTTACCTTACACTCCAAGTAGCTGTCGGTCTCAGCTCGGTTCCTCTCTGTCACTTTCTCCCAGTGGCTCCTGATGTAGGCCAGAATCTGGTCCAGACTAGTCTGTATGGGTGCGTCAGGTTCGTCCACCTCCCGTCCAGCCATCTGGTTGTAAAGAGCGCGCACGTCCTGCATCAACAGGTGACTGAAGGTAAGCGAAGGGATCTGACACCCAGCTGCAAAACATTGTCCTAAATTTCTGTCTTTGATACAACCTGCTCATGGCTGCGTTCCAAAGACCTTAGCTCCGCCCTCATGTCTTGCATTTGCTCCTCAAGCTCCGCCTTTGTTATGTTTGCCTCCTCAATCACTCTGCACAAGGAGCTGATCTCCTCCTCCACAGCCCTCCTAAAGGGCTGTTCAGTCTCGTACCTGCAAAGAGCAACAAGTTACCAACTCCTCCTGCAGGTAGGCACATTCCAGCACCTCCTCTCAGCCTCCAGGGGGCACTGTCTGAGAGCAAATGAGCTAAGTCTGACTGAAGCTGCAGACTGGAGGTCATGGAGACAAGGAGACGTAGCCTAGTCAACTAGACCAAATTCTTGCTTTGCAAAGTTAAATACTACATTTATTTAGTCTGGCTTGCCAGACTAGAGGAGATGTTCTGGAGGAGGTGAATTTCAGACTGCAGCTGCTCTTATGGACATTCAAACTGATTGATCAGCTGACATCAAACACTGTCAGACCTTTCCCTGAAATCCTCGGCGCTAGCCTGAACGTTCTCAGTTTGCAGCATCAGTTGGGCATTGTCCAGGATGGCTTCGCTGACCTGCAGAGAACACAGGAACGCAGAGTGTTGACACCCCCTCTGTCCTCCCTCAGCCCCTCACCTTTCCTCCCATCCTTACCTGCCTGTAAATGTCCTCCCACTCTGCCTTGAGCGGACCCCAGGCCCCAGCACTGGAGGCCTTTCGGTCCAGACAGAGGCGAATCTGCTCTTCCAGCTGTTGGTTCAGCTGCTCCAGCGCTCTCACTTTGTCTCGATACTCCATCAGGGAGCTGTTCAGGCCTGCTGCTGCTCCACCTCCTGTAGCCCACTCCCCAGATCGAGGCACAACTGGTGTGGCACTACTCCTCATTCCTTGCAGGAACACACTGCTGATTCCCAGAGCCCTGCGGGACACTCGTGTTCCCAGTCCAGAAGATGTAGTTGAGGATGTGGGGCCTACAAAGACTCCACGGGGTGTACTGGTACTGGATATGCCCATCCTACCACAGGGGATAGACACTGGGCGATCAGCGGTTGGCTGTCCCAAGAAGGACGAGCGACGTCTGGCCAGAGGCATGGCGCTGAGGTCCCAAAGTCAAACGGCTCAGATCTGTTCACCACCGGGATTTATGGAGTACTGAACTTCTAGAAACATAGCTACTTTTGTTCAGGAGCTGTTTGTGCGGCAGCTGACTGATGGCTTTTGTTCCCGTAGAAACATGGAGTCATGATTCAGCTGCATCAGCACCAGGGCGGGGGAGGGGTGTTCTAGACTCTGGCTGATGGACACCATCTAGACCAGAGGTCTGCAGTATCTATGGAAACAGAAGCAACACTCTGAGGTTAAAATCACATTTCTGAAATCTTTTTCCCTCTTCCATAAATGCTCAAAATGCACAATTCTGTTTTCTATTGGTGGGTTTTAAAGTAGAAAATACTTTAAAATAGAACATGGGTGTTTTTTCTGTGGTTATTTGCAGAAAATGATTTAAAACAAAAACATAGATAGATTTACAAATAAAACAAGTACTTTAAGTGTCATTTTTGTTATTAAATTCAGTCAAATTAGTCCTTAATTAAGCTGACTAAACCTGCATTTTTTATTATAACTATATTAAAAACAAGAGTTACTTTATTTTTCACATCAAGAGCAAAAATGGAAGGTTCATAGAGCCACTTGTGGCTCCAGAGCCACAGGTTGCAGACCGCTGACTCGCTCACCCTTCAGCCCCCATGAGAGACCTGGTAGTTGTGGTAACTCTAGCAGCTGTGCTGGCCTTGGGGCCGTGGTCCTGCATCTCCACTGGACCAGGAGACCACAGATCCAGCCCCATACCCTCCAGCTCTCTGGAGCTACAGGAGATGCTGAGGTTGTTGACAGGAAGTGGTGAACGCTAACGCAGCCACCAGCAGTTTCCAGCTTCTACTTAGGTTTCAGACAGTTTCACAAGTGAAAGGTCAACCAGTCCACACGTTCAGTTCCGTTTGTTCTACAGCTCCAAATGACCAGAGTCGTCTCAAGGACCTTCACGCAGTAAATAACACAGGTCAGGTCATTATGTCACACACACACACACACACACACACACACACACACACGCGCACACACACACACACACACACACACACACACACACACACGCACGCATGGCGCACGCACGCACACACACACACAAATACACACACACACATATACTGACAAACACACACACATCCAGACTCGGGATAATCCCAGATTTAATGTGAGGAGAGAAAAGCAGCTCATGGAATGTGACCTCTGACCTCCGCTCGTTTTGATCTCAGGACCAGGTTGTGTTTCCTCTTTTCTCACGTGTCATTTAGCTCATTTCATCCATCCATGCTAAGGGTCATCTGAGGTCAGCTTCCTGCATCTGGGTCTTGTGGCGTCGGCATCAGAAGACTGGCGTCCTCTCTGCTCACACGTGACATCTGCGGTCTCCACGGATGGCGCCTCATATCTTATAGTTACATCATGCAGAGAGACGAGACACGTCTGGTTTCACAGACCGACAGGATGCTGCTGCAGCTGCCGCTGGTTCTTATCTGCACCTGAGTGAGCTTGAAGATACACAAGGCCTGCCACCACATCCAGCCTGAGTGTGTTGGCTCCACAACCATTTAAGGGCATTTTTAGTCTTTCTTTCTCTTTCCCCTTCTGCTCAGACTGTAACAAACATGGAGGAACATCTGAATGGAGACATGACTTTTTTATTGTGTTCATTTTTTTTCTATATTGAATTATTTATCTTGTATTTTACTGTTTACAATGACATCTTATTGTAGAGTTGTGTTATAACCCAGGCTGTTGGGTAGCTTTAACTATCCAGTTGGGTCATTTTAACCCAGTATGCCGGGTCAGACTCCCTAACCCTCGGTCCTTCTCCCACCCAGCACTTGGCTGGTTTCTGAGTCCTGTAAAACCCGGCCGGTCTCTTTGGCATACAGAACCAGGTTCAGGTCTGTGTTTGATCCGTACAACACAGCAGGATCTCTTTTACCTGAAATGTTCACCTGGACTCAGTAACAGGAACAAACTGAACCTCTGGACTAGATCATAGATGAGCTTTCTTCCTGTTTCAGTGAAGCTAAACTTTCAGATGATTAGTGTTGGAGAAATCTCTGGAGACCAGTGAGCTGCAGGTGTGGTTTTAACCTGAAGGTTCCTGTTTCTGCACAGCACTGTCACTTATCTCATTCACAGTAAAACCATGACAAACAGGAAGCAGTGATGGTGTTTGATCAACTTCCTGATGAACGTTCACACCATCCTGATGTGAGTTTAACAGACTTTATTCTTCATGAATTCACACGTAAAACGCCTCGTCTCTGCTAGCCAGAACAACGAGCTTCATCCTAACACATCTGGCTCAGAGTAACTCTTGTGTCATGTGATCTGTTTCAGAGGTCACATGACCAACCCGGCCCCATACATTTTTGAAGGTAAACAAAGCTTCACATTAACTCTAGAAGAAGAACAGCACGTCTCAGGATAAAATCGGGAGAAACATCACAAGAACCAAATAAAAATTACAGTCATAAGTTTAAAAATCATCTCAGAATTGGGAGAAGTTAAAAATTGTGTTTAAAAAATATGAAGAAAGGGAAATTGAATAAGAAAGAGTGAATCAGTAGATCCCAGGAAAGGCAGACCCCCCCCCACACACACACACAGCCTTTGACCTTTAGCCTGGTGCGCTGCACAACCAGTAGGCTTTGGTCACTGGACCTCAGGGACCTGCTGGGGGTGTAGGGACTAAGAAGATCACCAATGTAAGATGGTGCTTGTCCATGTAAGACCCTATAGACCAGAACCAGGATCTTGAAATGAACCCTGAAGTTGACTGGCAGCCAGTGAAGCTGGAGGAGAAGCGGGGTGATGTGGGTGTATTTGGAGGACTTGGTCAGAAGCCGAGCACAGGCGTTCTGAACCACCTGTAGACGGTTCAGGGAGGTTCTGCTCAGACACGTGAAAAGAGACTTACAGTAGTCTAAGCGTGAGGAGATGAAGGTGTGGAGAACTGTCTCAAGTTCAGAGCGGGACAGAATGGGACTCAGCTTAGCAATGTTCCTTTTAATAAAGTCTAGAGAAAGTTCTGAACTGGTCCACTTGTAAAATGTTCTGGATGTGCGGATAAAACTGTCCGATGTTATACTTGACCTCTAGGAAACACCTGGAAGGTGAGACAGGTGGCTCATCTGGTCCCGTGGTGAATCCAACCACGTCAGTGCCCTGCCCACCAGTGAGTTCCTCAGGACCATCCTGCTGAGGTTTTAATCAACCCACATACCTGGAGAAGGCTTTCGTGGACCATCAGGTGTTTCTAGGTGAAGCAACTGAATCTTGAAGGATTTTAGGGTTTTTTGGGACCTGGCTTGATGGTTCTTGGTGGGAGGAACAGACTGCAGCCTCTGGAACTGGAGCAGCTCCCTGAAGATATGCGGAGTGAAGTCAAACGTGCAGCTCTTCCTGTTTCTAGGTGGCATCACTTATTTTGTGATGTCCTGGCCACAAACAGGAAGCTGCTAAGCTTCCTCTCTACAACGACAGAGCCTGAGAGTTGTCGCTGTCGGACATCACTGAGACCTTTGTGGAGCTCGAAGGACTCCTGATCTTCCCCAGACCATGCTTGCTTGGTGGTCTCAGGCAGCAGCAGCGGCGCAGCAGCCGCACCATGTCACGGCGAAAGCGCACACCCACAAACACATAGAGGAACGGGTTGAGGCAAGCGTGCATGTAGGCCAGACTCTTTAGCACTTGCCCCGCCTTGTCCAAGGCCTTGACCTTGCTGCAGTCTGTCACCGTCATGTTGGAGGCCTGAGTGGTCTCCATGACCAGCATGCTGTTGTAGGGCAACTGGGATGCAACAAACGCCACCACCACAGCCAGGATCACCCGCATGGCTTTGTGCTTCCCAAAGTTGCGGGTTTTGAGCAGCGTGGCAACAATGGCGCTGTAGCAGAAGGCCATGACAACAAAGGGCAGGAAGAAGCCCATGCTCACCTGCAGGGACAGCACCAGGATCTTGGTGCGGTTCCCCAGGTTTGAGGGGAAAACCATCCTGCAGTACTGTCTGGATTCCACGTTGGCAGGCTCGGCGAACACCCACTCAGGTGTGGCAAGCAGCAGCGCAAGCAACCACACCCCCATGCACACACACCGGCTGCAGCGACGGCGCTCTATCTGCGAGTTTTGAGCCTTGGTGGTCTGCACGATGACAACGTACCGATCCACACTGATGCAGGTGAGAAGAAGCATGCTGCTGAACAGATTTATCTTGTAGAGGGCCGAGTTCAGCTTACAAAGGACAGTGCCAAAGTTCCAGCTGTACGATGCCTCGGCGGCCCACAATGGCAGAGTGACAAGGAACAGCAGGTCGGCTACCGCCAGGTTCAGCAGGTACACGTCTGTCATCGTCTTCAGCCGCTTACGAATGTTCAGGTAGATCCACACCACTGCTAAGTTTCCAACGCCGCCAACGAGGGCAATCATCCAGAAGAGTGGTGGTTCATACCGGCTTCTGAACACCCGCACTGACTCCCGGTCGCACATCAGGTCCGTGAGGTTGTCCAAATAATCGTAGTCCTCCTCAGTAGTGGCTGAGGGACTGAAGTAGGATGGGTCCTGCAGCACAAACAACACACCTGAACTCTCCATTCCATACACCTGATAAGGAATCAGAAGCAGCGGACTTACCTCTGTGGTCATCACTGTGATGATGTCATCAGTAAGGGTCATGTTTACAGTGACGATGTCATCCATCTTCTTAACACAAACACAAACATGATAGCAAGTGTTTAGTAACATGTTTTACTACATTTTCTGTGTTGCATCATTTCCTGCTGTGACTCTTCCAAAATAAAAGCTTCTTAGAGCTTTGTCAGGTCCTGTGAGCGTGTCACACACACACACACACACACACACACACACACACACACACACACACACACACACACACACACACACACACACACACACACACACGAACTCACACGGACTCACACACACACACACACACACTCACACATACTCACACAAACACACACACTCACACACATACACATACACACACACGGACTCACACACTCACACACACACACACACAGACTCACACACACACACACACACACACGGACTCACACACACACACACACACACACACATGGAGTCACACACGCTCACTCACAGGACAGACTCACCATTGTCATGCTCTCATCTCTGCCGTGTGTCTCAGTTTGCGCTCTCTCTGTCTTGTCGTCCGTTAAACCACAAAGTGACGAATCAGGGGAAGAAGTTACAAAAATTTGAGAGGAGGAGTTACACACACATCATACCCCCCCCCCACACACACACACACACACACACATAGGTAAGTTGTGTGATGAAGATAAAGCTTGGCCCCTAATCTTAGCAGGTGTGCTTCATTGGGTTGATTCTATAGTCAGCAACGTGTTTGTTGTGTCTGCAGACACACACTTGCTATTTGTGTTTTTAAAAACAGCCAATCAACCACAGTTAGTCCTGTAACCATGGCAACGGCCCCCTCAGCTTCACCTGGGCCTCAGGTCTCAAAACGTGTGTGTGTGTGTGCGTGTGTGTGTTTACTTCAGAAGTTCTTTGTGAGTTAGACTGAAATGACTGCGGTCAGAACATCATGTTCTGATTCACCTCTGCTTCCTGTTCAATACACACACACACACACACACACACACACACACACACGCACGCACGCACGCACACACACACACACACACACACACACACACACACACACACACACACACACACACACACATCTTTCAGTGATAAACAAACTAAAATTTCCAGGATCAGAACCACAGATGATCTAGCAGGCCCAGGCTAGTTCTGGTCCTGATCACCAAAAACTGTTTGGAGTAAAAGAGTCTGTGGTTCCTGGCTTAGTACAAGAAGGTCTGAATGTTCTGCAGGGTTAGGTGGAGAATGCAGATCCAGTCTGCCAAAAGACAGACAGACAGACAGACCAACAGACAGACCGACAGGCGGACAGACAGACCGACAGGTGGACAGACAGACAGACCGACAGACGGACAGACAGACAGAGCGACAGACGGATAGACAGACAGACAGACAGACAGACCAACAGGTGAACAGACAGACAGACAGACAGACAGACCAAACGACAGGCGGACAGACAGACAGACAGACAGACAGACACAGACCAACCGACAGGCGGACAGACGGACAGACAGATAGGCAGACAGACAGACCAACCGACAGGCAGACAGACAGACAGACAGACAGACAGACCGACAGGCGGACAGACAGACCGACAGACAGACGGATAGACAGACAGACAGACAGACCGGCAGGCGAACAGACAGACAGACAGACCGACAGGCGGACAGGCGGACAGACAGACAGACGGACAGACAGACAGACCGACAGGTGGACAGACAGACAGACCGACAGACGGACAGACAGACAGAGCGACAGACGGATAGACAGACAGACAGACAGACCACAGGTGAACAGACAGACAGACCAACCGACAGGCGGACAGACAGACAGACAGACAGACAGACACAGACCAACCGACAGGCGGACAGACGGACAGACAGATAGGCAGACAGACAGACCAACCGACAGGCGGACAAACAGACAGACAGACCAACCGACAGGTGGACAGACAGACGGACAGACAGACAGACAGACAGACAGACAGACAGTCAGACAGACAGACAAACCAACCGACAGGTGGACGGACGGACAGACAGATAGACAGACAGACCAACCAACTGGCGGACAGACAGATAGACAGACAGACCAACCGACAGGCGGACAGACAGATAGACAGACAGACAGACCGACCAACCGATAGACAGACAGACAGACCGACAGGCGGACAGACAGACAGACAGACAGACCGACAGACAGACGGATAGACAGACAGACAGACAGACAGACAGACCGGCAGGTGAACAGACAGACAGACAGACCGACAGGCGGACAGACAGACAGACAGACAGACGGACAGACAGACAGACCGACAGGTGGACAGACAGACAGACCGACAGACGGACAGACAGACAGAGCGACAGACGGATAGACAGACAGACAGACCAACAGGTGAACAGACAGACAGACAGACAGACCAACCGACAGGCGGACAGACAGACAGACACAGACCAACCGACAGGCGGACAGATGGACAGACAGATAGGCAGACAGACAGACCAACCGACAGGCGGACAAACAGACAGACAGACAGATGGACAGACAGACAGACAGACAGACAGACAGACAAACAGACAGACAGACAAACCAACCGACAGGCGGACAGACGGACAGACAGATAGACAGACAGACCAACCAACTGGCGGACAGACGGACAGACAGATAGACAGACAGACCAACCGACAGGCGGACAGACAGATAGACAGACAGACAGACCGACCGACCAACCGACAGACAGACAGACTGACAGACCGACCAACCGACAGACAGACAGACAGACAGACAGACAGGAGAACGAAAAGTCTAGTCTGTGTGAACTTGCTCGGAGCAGCTGGATCCACCCATCTTCTGATTGGTCAGAGGATGATAGGCGGGGAGGGGTTACACCCGGACAGATCAGCAGTCAAGGAGGACCAGTTTAGGGCGATGGTGGCACAGGAGTTAGGCGCTTGCCCCGTAATCGGAAGGTTGCAGGTTCGAGCCCCGCCCAATCTGTCACTGTCGTTGTGTCCTTGTGCAAGACACTTCACCCCCTTGTCTGCTGGTGGTGGTCGGAGGGACCGGTGGTACCGGTGTACGGCAGCCTCGCCTCCGTCAGTGTCCCAGGGCAGCTGTGGCTACTTCATAGCTCATCATCACCAGCGTGTGAATAACTGATTGTGCTGTAAAGCACCTTGGGGGGTTCCAGGACTCTAGAAGGTGCTATATCAGATACAGGCACTTTACCAGCTCTGATTGGAGACTGTTTCTGCTGCTGACAGTCTGACCTCTGCAGTAGTTGGACCAGGAGCTTTAACCAGAACCTGTTATCTGCTTTTACCCGTCTGACCGCGAGCAGAATGTTCTGGTCTGCGTGTGAGAGTGTGGTTACAGCTTGTCATGCAACGCTGTTTAGTGTGAAAACACTGGCACGCAATGTGGAGCCTCACACACACTTCCTGTCAGAACCGGAAAAAACAGCTGGGTCATATGACCTGACTTTCTTTTTCTGCTGCTGTCAGACTCATCAGATGGTGGTTGTCATGGTGACAGTTTATTTTGGCAGCACATAGTCACACATCACCTCACTCACTTCAACAATCTGTGTCATGCACACCTGATTTGAATCAATCAATCAATCAGATTTTATTTATAAAGCGCTTTTCAAACAAAGTGCTTTAAAAAAATGACCCCAAATTCCCATAACAGTTTAAAACCATTAACAGACACATGCAAACACACACACACAAAAAAAAAAAAATAATAAAAATCAGTAAAAATTTATATTCAGCTGAGTCCAGATGAGCCATGTAAGGTAAGGCAAGGAAACGCCATCAGAGGAGCCGTCTGCCCCGGCAGCATCAGGTCTTCCACACTAATGGGCCATTCCCACCTGTACCGGGTCGGCCCGGGCCGGGTAGCGTAGGTTGTTTACATATCTGGGTGGCCTGTATTTTTCCAGGCCAACCAAGGCTCATTCTCAGCCCTCTTCTCGAGGGGGTCTGCTTCAGGCCGACCAGGGCCAACACACCCACTGCTGACAGCAAATTCACACCTTCCATTAGAGCAAGCCTCTGATTGGTGGGTAGAATCAGCCCACATGGGCTTAAGGCAAGGATGTGTGGAATCAACCGGGCCAGGCTGGGGCCGACTGGGGCTACCCGGCCCGGGCCGACCCGGTACAGATGGGAATGGCCCATAAGTCAGGGCGCTCAGAGGAGAAGGAGCATAGACCCCCACCTCCACTTAAACACTACCTATAGAGTCAGCAGTAATCAGCAGGTGATTAACAGGCTCCCACTGAACAGGTAACTCAGGTATGTAACTCAGGAGCAGCAACTAGCAAATGCTGGATGGGAGCCCGAAGAACCAGGCTTTCCAGTCTATCGGTCCCAGCGTGCTCTCTATAATTAATGCTTCTCTGGTTTCTGGTCAGGTCCCTGCTTACTTTAAGAACGCTGTAATCCACCCGCTTCTTAAAAAACCGAGTCTCGACCCCTCTCTCCATAGCAGCTTCAGACCATCTCTAAACTTCGTTCATCTCCAAGATCTTGGAAAAGGTTGTGGCTAAACAACTCACAGCAGCTCTTGATGAACAGAACATCTATGATAGTGTAGGGTTGTGGTTTATGCTCTTTTATGAAAGAGGAACCATTCTACATATTAATTTGTGATATTAATTTTATTAAATTAATAACCAAATTGGATAGTTTTAAGAAGACTCAAAGGTTGTTTTCATCGATAAACTGACGATAATATCCGTGTGTCTGTGTTTCAGTTCAATGAAGAAACAAGTTTGAAAGTTAAAAGTTTTAATTCTTCAAATTAAACTAAAGATTTTGAAATAACAAACATGGAAATGACAATCAACATTGGCAACTTTGTGGGACAATCTTTAACAGTGGATATGCTTGCTCAAATAGACCTTGTGGTGAATGTGTGAAGATTGAACATGAGGTGAGCTGAGTGCGTGTGTGCATCTGATTTTGCTTCAGGAAGAAACAGGTGTCTGAGTGAAAAGTGATGGTTTGAATAAACTTAGGTTTTGTTGGAAAAGATGCATCAAAACGCTATCTGGTCGTGGACTGCCTCACCGTATTCAGGACTCCCTTTCGGATCCGGATCCCAGGAGGGTGGTACTCCAGATGACACCTCGGCTGGCAGAGGAGACGAAGGTGTGCTGGTGCTCCGGTCCAGAGATGAACTCGGTACACGTTGTTGAAGCATTTGTAGATGCGCTTTCTTAAGTTTAATTCACTCAGAAATCAAAGGACTCGAGGCGAGTCCGCGTTAGTTGTTGCAATTCAGCTATTCCTAGGAATAGCGTGAGGGGGGGGGGGGGGGGGGGGAATGAGCCGATCGGCTCGGTCCCCCTTTTGCGTTTATTCAGGTCTTCTCTCTTTCGTTGTCCAGCACGAACTGAATCATGAACTGAAAAACTTACCAAAAGCCTTTCTCTTCTCAAAGCAAAACGTGTGCATCAGCAAATGTGTTTTGGAGTTTACTGTGAGAGCAGATGTGTGTGTGTGAGTGTTTGAGTGTGTGAAGGTCACCACTAAAACATCCTCAGAACATTATTTAATTAAGCAGTGATTCATTAGTTATTATGATTACCCAAAGCATAATAATCATTCATTTGATTAATCACATTTATAATGAGCAAAATGATAATGATTATTCTTTAACATTAAAATCAAGAAAAGGAAGTTTAAGACTTGTTATGTTATGACTACTTCCATGGGAAAAACATCTTCTGGCACGAAGCTGCAGGTGGCAGATGTTATGGTTTCCAGCAGACTCTTGCAGACTTCATGTCTGCAAAGGTCTCAAGCTGTGGGTGAAAGTTCTCAGCGACCCAGCACTTGACCCAGCCGAGTCAAACGACCTTTGGCACAGAAAACCCATATTTCCTCACGTTACAATAGCTTCCAGTCAGGTTTTCGTAGAGCTCATTCTACTGGAATAACTCTTCTTAGGGTCTCTAATGGCCTTCTGACTCACAGTGATGCAAGGGACTGTTCTGTTCTGGTTCTGCTGGACCTGACTGCAGCCTTTGACTCTGTTGACCATCACCTGCTACTGGAGAGGCTGAGAGACTGGGTAGGTCTATCAGGATCTGCTCTGGAGTGGTTCTCTTATCTGTCTGAGCATTCCTTCTCTGTGGTTGACGGTGGCACAGGAGTTAAGTGCTCACCGCATAATCGGAAGGTTGCAGGTTCAAGCCTCACTCAGTCTGTCGCTGTTGTTGTGTCCTTGGGCAAGACACTTAATCCCCCTTACCTGCTGGTGGTGGTCGGAGGGACCTGTGGCGCCTGTGCTTGGCAGCCTCACCTCTGTCAGTGCTCCACAGGGCAGCTGTAGCTACATCGTAGCTCATTCCCCCAGCATGTGAATGGGCGAATGACTGATTGTGTTGTAAAACACCTTGGGGAGTTCCAGGATTCTAGAAAGTGCTATATCACAATACAGGATGTGGCAAGGTGGAGAAACGAGGGCCCGGGCGGGATTTGATCCCCAGTTTCCCAGGTGAGAATCACCACGCTAAACAGTCAGCCAAAGGGACATCCCCTTGGCCAAGTAGCCAGGGCACATGATCAATCGGGACACTGTGACAGGACACTCACAGTGCCACAAGGCCATTTACCATTTACCCCTCCATAAGGCCACCACAGCTCAGCAAAACATCATTGTAGCGTCTTCTGGGGAGAAAAACACTTAGAGAAAAAATAAAGCTAACAGCTGAAATAGCAGGAAATAATGTAGTTAAAGAGCAGAGTGTAGAAGAAAGTAGTCAAGTGTGGAAAGTGGTCAGTAAGTCCTCCAGCAGTCTAAGCCTATAGCAGCATAACTACAGAGATAACTCTGGATAACCCAGCCTTTTCAGATGGATGCATGTTGGAGGCAGGGCAAGGGAGAGCCGTCTTTACCGACTGTACACTCCACCTCCCTCTACTCCCTATATTGTTCCATATGTTCCTAACAGAGCAGTTCACTGCAGGTTTACTGGTATCTAGAATATCTAAAAATAGGATGGGAGTCAGATCTTTTAGTCACCAGGCTCCTCTCTCGTGGAACCATTGGCAACCTCAGTGCTTAGAGCCAACAGATATAAAGTAAGTCCAGCAGTGTGATAAATGCAACAGGATATATTATAAGTTCATATTATACGTATTTCAGGTTTCTACGAAAAGATACAGACAAAAACTATTTTGCAAAACAGGACAAAATGGTTATTATAGCACAAAATTCATATTTTATTAACAAAACTCCCCAAAACAGTGGTTCTGTCTGCTTTTAGCGGGGGAAGACGGGTTACTGCTAAATGAAATAGTCAATTGTAGTAGAGCCCTTCTAGCCAATCAGAGGCGAGTAAGGCGGAACCTTCCTCGGACATTGGCACAGACATCGGTGGGTCCAAATGACGCCACCCGCGGGAGAGAAAAAAACAGGCCGAATATATTTTTACATTTTATTTACATTTGTTTTTAAATCATTTTACGGAGAAAAAAGGAAAAGATGAGAAGCAGGCCTACATGAATACAACCTTTGTTGACGGAGGAACACATTTCAATGTAACACCGACATCCGCCTTCAACAACCCGAGGAGGAGACGAAGAAGAAGTAAACAGCGGATATATTTGGCTAATTTCTAATCAGTAATGTTTGATTGATTTATTTATGTTCGCGGCATTTTCTCCTGCTTTACGACCTACTGAGGTGTTTACGTTACTTTACTTTACGACCTACTGAGGTGTTTACGCTTGAAGAGCTGCCCTCAGACGTGGAACATCTAACCTGCAGACCCTGGTTGCGTCTCATGGCCGGTGACAGTTGAGTTCAACGACTCTGGGTTCTCGGTGTCCGGTGACTCACCTCCTTTCCTCCGGACCATCGGGAGCGACGCGTGCAAGGGTATCGTAGACTCTGCACACTTGGTTTCATACTAAATAAAGTTTATCTTATTAAACCAAACAGCCAAATGGATCTTACAACCCAGACACAACAAGGTCCATCTCAGATACTCACAAGGTTCTTCTGTAACATCTAGCTTCCATCTCATCCCTTCATCGTCAGTTATTCACACACCCATCCTTTCATTCGTACGTTGTCATGTACAATCATTAGTTTAGGAAGAGAGTTAGTCTTTATAACCATATATATGTGTGTGTTCCTGAATGAGTCAAAGAACCTAAAGTCCTCTGATTTAACATTCAAAACCAATCAGATTGATATTTCATATTTCTTTTCCATTCCATTCCATTTATTTGATAGAGCACATTTAAAAACAGCATGTGAGCAGACCAAAGTGCTGTACAGGGGTAAAAACATAAAACGTTAAAAGAATAAAACAGCTAGAGCATAGCACAAAGAACTGAACAAGAGAAGTCAATAAAATTGGTAAAAGAATAGTGCAAATAAACCTAGTTAAAATAGTTAGGCAGTAAAAGAAAGGGAATAAAAGTAAGTCTTTAAGTGAGACATAAAAACCCCAATGGAGGGGGAGAGTCTGATGGGAGATCATTCCAGAGTTTTGGAGCGCAGACAGAAAAAGCTCGTTCACCACGGGCTTTGCAGCGTAGACGGGGAATCTGTAGTAGGTGAATGTCACCTGAACGGAGAGTCCTGCCCGGCACATAAGGAGTGAGTAACTCAGATATGTAAGGTGGTGCTAAGCCATTTAGCGCCTTAAAAACAAACAATAAAAATTTAAAACGTATACGGTAGTGCACAGGAAGCCAGTGAAGTCTTGCTAAATTGGAGTGATGTGCTGCCGACAGCCCGTATTGGTCAGAAATCTTGCTGTCGCGTTCTGCATCAGCTGAAGGCGAGATAATGCGGCTTTTGAAATGCCAAACAGAATTGCATTGGAGTAGTCCAACCTTGAGGTGATGAAAGCGTGAATGGTTGTCTCGAGGTGGCGCCGATTCAGAATGGGTTTTAGTTTGGAAAGACTTCTCAGCTGATATAAACATGATTTAACCATGTGATTAACGTGAGGGTCCATTTTTAGAGCCACATCCATTTTAATTCCAAGATTAACAATTGTTTGACTAATTTTAAAAGGAAGTGCAGAAAAATCACTAGCGGAGGAAGACGAGCCTTTAGGAGTAAAACTAATAAACTCGGTCTTAAAATAATTCAGCTGCCGAAAATTTGCTGCCAGCCAGTCTTTAACCTCACTCAGGCAATCCAGGAGCGGCTGGATGGAGGTAAAAGTCTTCAAGGGAACATAAATCTGGCAGTCGTCCGCATAAAGATGAAAGTTAATGTTGAACTTCCTGAAGATTAGTCCCAGTGGAAGAATATAAATGCTAAATAAAAGGGGGCTGAGGATAGACCCCTGTGGCACGCCCCAAGGAAGAGCAGCAGAGGGAGATGAACAGTCATCCATCCTAACTCTAATAGACCTGTTGTCAAAGTAGGAGCAGAACCAGTCAAGCGCAGATCCCTTAATGCCGACCAAATTCTCAAGGCGGGACAGTAAAAGGTCATGGTCAACCGTGTCACATGCAGCTGAGAGGTCCAACATAACCAGGGCAACATGGGAACCAGAATTAGTAGCTAAAATAATATCATTAAAAACCCTGATGTGAGCAGATTCTGTGCTGTGATATTGTCTAAAACCAGACTGAAATTTATCCAAGACCCCAAAATTGTTCAGATGGGGCATAATTTGATTATAAACAGCCTTTTCCAACATTTTTGACAAGAAGGGAACATCACATCTTATTGCTCATTCAATAAATAAGTAGCCGATGGTTACCGCTCCATTTGGTTTGTTTACATTGAACCAGTTCATGAGCCGGGGTCAGATCATCTTCATGTGTCCTTCATGTGCCCTTGTGTTTATGTCTCCAGGACAAGGTCAGGCCCCTGCAGACCAGCTTGGTTTTAACAGTGATGTCATGGCTAAAGAAGCGCTACAGTGACATCAGTCCTGTGACCCTGCAGGTGGTGGGCGGAGCCCTGAGCTCAAGCCTGTACTGTGGGGAGGTGGAGGGTCTGTCGTTGGCGGAGTCCTTTCTGGTGGAGCTTTATCGCTGTAAAATCTGTCAGTTCACCTGTGGGCTAAGGGCAGGCATCAGCAGCCATCTGCTGCTCCGCCATGCCCCACCCACCCTCACCTGTCTAATCGAGTCTGATGGACAGGAGGCGGGGCTTGAAGCCAGGCTCCAACAGACAGAGTCGCCCTACCAGCTGGATCTAGGTGGAGAGTCAAAGCAGAGAGAGGAAGATGAAGAGTTTCTGCTCTACGACATGCTGGAGGACATGAGTCCGCCCACCTGTGACATCAGCTCTGAGGGGGGTCTCCAGGTGTCACACACCTGTGAGGTGACACACACACACACGCACAAACACACACATATACACACACGCACAAACACGCATACACAGACATGCACAAACACACACACACCCATACACACACACACACACCCATACACACACACACACACCACGCACACACACACACACACACACACACACACACACACACACACACACACACACACACACACACACACACACACACACACACACACACACACACACACTTACACTCCTCTTCTTCCTCTGAGTGTTAATTTCTCTCTACAGGTCAGCACTCTCTTTGAGGAAGAAGAGGAGTCCTCCATCCTCCCCCTGAAGGGAGGGTCGGTGGATCTGTCCTGTCCCATCAACCCCCCCTCCACCCAGGAGGAGATGGAGCAGTCAGCTCACCTCATGACTCTGGGACTGTGTCGGATTTCTGCTGTCAAACCTTCAGGTCCTCTCCCATCGGTCGAGCCCCTTCTCCCACAGCTAAGCAGGACAGGTGGACAGACAGTGACTCAGCCCCCTGACCGCCACAGTCTGCTGTGTCTTCTGTGTCCTCTAACTCTCCCGTCCAAAAGGCTGCTGGATGTCCACGTTCGGTCTCACCGGCCTGCTGGTGGCTTTGGCTGTCCCCGCTGCAGGTGGACTGCAGACAGCTGGGAGGAGCTGGAGCACCACTGGAGGAGCCACAGCAGGAGCGGGAAGAGGAGGAGAAGGAGGGAGGGCCAGGAGCAGCAGGGAAATGGAAAGAGGAGGAGTTATCTCAAGAGGAACAGGAAGTCAGAATTACAAAGTGCCTGCAGCAGATCCTCAGGTCAACTTCACAATGGATCAGTAATCAACAGGTAGTCAGCTACTAACAACTACTCTTCTGTCTTCAGACATGTGGGGCGGGCAGCTATTTGTACCTGCAGCATCAGAGGAGGTGGAGCTTCCTGACAGGTGTGTTGGTCGAGTTTCTCAGGTGGCTTTTATTGTGGTAAATCTTCTAATACCTGTCTGTGTGTGTGTGTGTGTGCGTGCGTGCATGCGTGTGTGTGTTACTCCAGCCCCATTCCCAGTCAGACCAGCACATCTCAGACTGGTTCTTCTCAGAACATCTTAAAGGCACCAAGGATGTTGAGCAGAAAAAACAGTAATGCGGACTCTACAAGAGGTCATGACCTCTGCTGCTCACACTGCCACAGGTAATGAATGCAGTCAGAATTATTTTAACTGTTAATCTGGTCAGATTGATGGTCATATGTTAGAATTATTTTATTATTAAATGTTTATTTAGACTTGTCAGCTTGATGATTTTCTTCCTGCAGGAAGTTCTCCTCTAAGCTGATTCTAAAGCGTCACCTGGGTATCCATGTTGGAGAGAAACCCTTTACCTGTCCTCACTGTTCATACAGCAGCAGACTGAAGGCTTCACTGCTGCAACACCTGAGAACTCACACAGGTAACACCTGAAACTCACGCAGGTAATACCTGAAACTCACGCAGGTAATACCTGAAAGTCACGCAGGTAATACCTGAAACTCACGCAGGTAACACCTGAAACTCACGCAGGTAATACCTGAGAACTCACTCAGGTAATAACTGAAAGTCGCATAGATAAACACCTGAAACCAACGTAGATAAACACCTGAAACCAACATAAACACCTGAAACTCGCATAGATAATCACCTGAAACTCATGGTAGGTCTTAGCTCAGATGGTGCCTAACTCCTGTGTTTTTTGTTACAGGTGAGAGACCATTCAGGTGTTCTGAATGTTCGTATGCTTCTATTGATCGCAGCTCTCTGCTGAGACATTGTAGAACTCACAGTCAGGAAAAACCGTACAAATGTCAGCTTTGTGACTACTGCAGGTAAAAATCAGATACACCTGTCTGAAATGTCTTCACTTTGAAAATTGTCCTCACTTTGTAGTAGGGCTGGGCGATATGGCTTACCATCACTGGCAGTGTGTGAATGTTACGGTGCTTGAAAGCGTCTTTGAGTGTCCTAAAAAGCGTTATATAAGTTTGATGTATAATTATTATAAAATCAATATCACCATATATTGAGGATTTCACCTCGAAAACGATAAATGGACGATAACTACAGGTGTGTGCAGAAACAAAGGTTGTCCACTAGATGGAGCTGTCATGTGTATTATGTTTAGTCACTTTTTTTTATGTGACTCAAGGTGGTCACGGGACAGGAACGCTGCCAACCAACACACATCTTTCATTTTTTTATTATCAAATTGATTGACATGGGAAAATTTATCCCGATAAGAGTCAGAAATTTCGATAACGATTCATTTCGATTTATTGCCCAGCCCTGTGCTGTAAGGAAAATGGGCAAAATGGTCCTCAGTATGTGGTATGTACAAGAGCACATATCACACACACACACACACACACACACACACACACACACACACACACACACACACACACACACACTCACACACACACACACACACACACACACACACACACACACACACACACACACACACACACACCCCATATATACCAAATGGTGTGTCTATGGTTACATTGTGATTTCTTAGTAAATATTCTATTTGGTGAAAGATAAACTTTATTGTATTTATCCTAGTGAATCTATAATTAAACGGGTAAACTAGTAATAGCACATTCAATGTCAAAGAGAGTAAAATGTTATTATCAGGAGAGGGAGAATGTTTAAGCGGTTAGCAGCAGTGTGCTAACCGATGGCCCCCTCCATGAGGCCACCACAACTCAGTAGAACATCATTGTAGCTTCTTCTGGGGAGAAAAACACTTAGAGAAAAAATAAAGTTAACAGCTGAAATAACACGAAATAATACAGTTAAAGAGCATATTGTAGAAAAAAGCAGTCGAGTGTGGAAAGTGGTCAGTGTATCCTCCAGCAGTCTAAGCCTATAGCAGCATAACTACAGATAACTCTGGATAACCTAGCCTTTTTAGATGGAGGTATGTTGGAGGCAGAACAAGGGAGAGCCGTCTTTACCGACTGTACACTCCACCTCCCTCTACTCCCCCACTTGTCCAGATCTTGCGTAACATCAGATTTTAACCATAGGCCCTATCAAATAAAAAATGTTTTAAGCCTAGTCTTAAAAGTAGACTGCCTCACGGACTAAAGCTGGGAGCTGGTTCCACAAGAGAGGAGCCTGATGTCTAAAAGATCTGCCTCCCGTCCTATTTTTAGATATTCTGGGAACCACCAGTAAACCTTCAGTCTGAGAGCGAAGTGCTCGGTTAGGAACGTATGGAACTATCAGGTCACTGATGTACGATGGAGCTTGATTATTAAGAGCTTTATATGTGAGAAGGAGGATCTCAAAATCTATTCTGATCTAAAAAGTACTGAGGAATGTCACAAGCTGCCGCTAATAGAGAAGGGTCACACTGACTTATGAAGACAATCATGTGGGAAAAAACAGGCTAAAATAGTGTGTTTTGCGGGCAGACTTAAACCTACAGAGGGAAGGTGCCTGTCGCATATGGAGGGGCAGCTTGTGAGATGGCACGTTCACCCCAAGATTTATAGCGAACCTTCAGAACAATCAGCAGCAGCTGATCAGCTGAACAAAGGGCACGAGTAGGTGTGTGGAGATGCAGCAGGTCGGCCAGGTAAGAGGGTGAAGGGCAGTTCAAAGCCTTGTAGGCAAACAGCAGGATTTTGAATTGAATTCTAAATTTGATCGGGAGCAAGTGTAAGTTTGCAAGAATGGGAGATGTGTGTGCATTAAGAATCTGGCTGCAGCATTTTGAGCCTTCTGTATTCTGCCCAAGGCAGAAGCACTAATCTCAATCAGAACTGCCGAGTGATCCGGCGAAGCTGGAAAAAGCATGACCTGGCGGTTGCGTTGACTTGAGAAGTCATACAGGTCAGAATCTAGTTTCACAAACTAGTGGCACACGATTGGATACTACTGGCATTCGTAGAGTTAAAAAAGGATGGCCTCTGTCTTGCTGTCGTTTAAACACAGATAGTTAGACAATAGCCAGGTTCTGACGTCAGAGAGGCAGTCTGTCAAAGCAGAGATTGATTGATGCTGACTGAATTTTAAGTAAACTTGACAATCATCGGCATAGAAACAAACATCAGAAAATAGCTTTTAGAGCCCCGATTGACATTCATTTGTTTGTTCTTCCGGGGACCCATGGTCCGGAAGTAGATGGGCGGGACATAGGCTTGCTATGTGGACTTGCTCCTTTCTGGATCCAACCCCTAGTGGATAAGGGGGTAACTGCAGCTTTTGTCACTTTTGCGTTAGCTTCACTTTTGGCAGGTGAAGTTTGCCCCTTGATGGTTTTTCATTGTTGCACATTTTTTCCTGTTGTTGCCGTGGTAACCTGTGGTGTATCTTTTTCTAATCGCAGCATCCAGAAGAAGGGTTTGGACCTCCACACACGTCGCCATCACTCTGGACTGGCATTTCCATGTCAGCAGTGCGAGTATTCAAATCCAGACCGACAGCTACTGCTCAAACACATTTGTAAAAGACACAACCCTTCTCTAAACACTGTGCTTTGATTGGACTGTTACCTGTTGATCATTGCAAGAGATGTGCCATTGTGTTTTCAGTTATGTTAAATGTTCTCATGTTGACTTTAAATGAAAATGAATAAAGCCTGAACTCAAACTTTTAACTTTCTTGTTTATAGTTTGATGAATTTCTCAGTCCTTCAGCTTCAACAGAATCACCATTTGACCCATCCCCATGGAAGGAAGCGGCTAGCGGCAGTGATGACTGCGCTCAGGAACTATTTGGTGATTTAACCCCCAATCCAACCCCTTAAAGCTGAGTATCAAGCAGGGAAGCATTGGGTCCCATTTTTAAAGTCTTTGCTATGACCCGACTGGGAATCGAAACCCCTATCTCCCAGTCCCAGGGCAGACACTAGGCCATTGAGCTGGTTAAAGAGCTATATAGCATCTAAGCTAGTATTATTTTGAAAGGTTCTTAAGGTTTAAGTTCTAATTGGACGGGGGGGGGGGGGGGATCAGGAAACTGGGTCAACTGTTGGAACAGGTGTGTGTTGGGCTGCAGCCACATCATAAAGCTAGAGCGATCTGTTGTGTTCTGTCTGATGGGTCACTTTCAGGTCTACCTCTTAGTTCCACATCATTCATAGTTCATGTCCTCGCCTCGATAGGTTCATCGATTGGTGTTCTAATGGGACAGAAAGCTCTGATTGAGTCCATCACTTCTAAACTGTCCAACACAGCACATTCAAAAACAACACTAGCTTACAGAAAACATCACTAAAAAATCATGGAATAAAGAGAGAAAATTCAATAAAACCACTGTGTTCAACCTCAAATAAAAGTAAATTAATGTACCAACACTGTAGCTAGACAGAGCCATGGGGAGCTCCAGAGGTAAGCGGGTTCTGGAAGGAGCCATGGGGAGCTCCAGAGGTAAGTGGGCTTTAGACAGAGCTATGGGGAGCTCCAGAGGTAAGCAGGCTTTAGACAGAGCTACGGGGAGCTCCAGAGGTAAGTGGGCTCAAGAAGGAGCCATCGGGGAGCTCCAGAGGTAAGTGGGCTCAAGAAGGAGCCATGGAGGAGCTTCAGAGGGAAGTGGGCTCTAGAAGGAGCTATGGGGCTCTCCAGAGGAAAGGGGGTTCTAGATGGAGCCAAGGGGCTCTCCAGAGGTAAGCGGGCTCTAGAAGGAGCCATGGGGCTCACCAGAGGTAAGCGGGCTCTAAAAGGAGCCATGGGGCTCTCCAGATGTAAGCGGGCTCTAGAAGGAGTCATGGGGCTCTCCAGAGGTAAGAGGGCTCTAGATTTAGCCATGGGGCTCTCCAGAGGTAAGTGGGCTCTAGAGGGAGCCATGGGGAGCTCCAGAGGTAAGCTGGCTCAAGAAGGAGCCATGGGGAGCTCCAGAGGAAAGTTCTAGATGGAGCCATGGGGCTCTCCAGAGGAAAGGGGGGTTCTAGATGGAGCCATGGGGCTCTCCAGAGGTAAGCGGGCTCTAGAAGGAGCTTCCACATGTTAGTGATGCTGTGACTGAGGAACATTGTTTCTTAGATCTGAGACACTCCAGCCTGTCAAATAGGACCCAAACCACTTCAGCGCACTTTCTTAAATACTAATGAGCAGTTTAAGATGGGATAATAGGATGTGATGGTCTATGGCGGGGTAGGCCGGTCTCCAGGACGTTTTAGTTGTAACCCTGCTTTAACACACCTGATTTCAGTCATCAGGTCAACAGGCTTCTGCAGAGCCTGATGAGCTGCTGCACAGGTGATTCAACCAGTGAATCAAGCATGTCAGAGCAGAGAAACTACTAAAACGTGCTGTATACTGGACCTCCAGGACTAGAATTGAATGTCCCTGGTCTACATTATCAAAAGCATCGCTTAGGTTGAACATCTGCATCTCCTATTATTCAAAGAAGGTTGTTGAAACCTCAGCAGGGCCCTTTCAGAGCCACGGTGTTGATTAAAACTAGATTTGAACTTTTCTGAAATGTTTGAAAACCCTGTAACTGGATAAAAACAGTTATTCAACTACCTTGGAGAGAAAGGGTCCTTTAGAGATGGTCTCTGAGGTGGAGGAGAACCAGGACTACTCGGGTCAGCTGTAAACGGTGACTGATTGTGTCCTGTCTCAGTAGCCAGAATGAAACCACTCACATGTTTAGTGCAAACTGTCATTACGATGTTAGTAGCTCTAACATCTCCAGGCCCAGTTGTATCTACTACTGAGGTGACCCCAACGACATATAAATACTGGACAATTCATTTCCATAGGCTCCAATAACACGTTTTTGAGGCCAAATGGGAGGTGGCCACCACCGCCATTTTGACCGTGTCACAGGTTCCGTCAAGCCCAGACAATTCCACAAAAGGGAAGAGAGGAGGAGCTGAGGGTGGGGCTGCAAGGCTGGGATCAACTGACGACACCCGGTCGAACTAGCTACAAGTTAACCCAAAGCTAATGCGGAGGTGGGAGCTAAGCTAACGGAGGTAGCAACCTAGCTACAACTGGAGTTAACTGTGCACAACACCAGAGCTTCTGAGTCAGAGATACGCCGGGCTGACCGCTGGGCAAAACCGGGTGGAACACCGAAGTCTCCGAGACAAGCCAGCAGCCGCACAGCAGACAAGCTCCGCTGCGATCTGAGATGCGCAGAGCCCGCTGGGGAGAACCGGGTGGAAAGGTTTCCATCCCAGATGTTGTCCATCTCCGTGTTGGTCCGGGTGATGGCCGCACGGGCCCGGATCCAAGCGAGCCGACAGCGGCAGACCAGCTTCTGGGCAGCAGGGACCTCCACCTGATGGTCGAACCGAGGGGGCTGGTACCCATAACAGGTCTCGAAGGGAGACATACTCGTGGCAGAGGAGGTCTGGAGGTTGTGGGACAGTTCCGCCAACAGGAGGAAGCGGGGCCAGGTGGTCAGCTGGGACGAAGCGAAGCAGCGCAAGTAGCGTCCAAGCTGCTGGTTAGCTCTCTCCGTCTGACCGTTCGTCTGTGGATGGTACCCAGAGGACAGGCTGGTGGAAGCGCCGACCAGGCGACAGAACGCTTTCCAGAAGCGTGAGACGAACTGGGGTCCCCGGTCGGAAACCACGTCCTGGGGGAAACCATGGAGCCCCACCACCTGTTCGTGGAGTAGTTCGGCCGTCCTCTTGGCAGTGGGGAGACCGGCCAGGGGCACCAAGTGCACGGCCTTGGCGAAACGGTCTGTGATGGTCAGTATGGTGTCCAAGTGGCCGACAACTGGCAGTCCCGTGACAAAATCCAGCCCGATGTGTGACCACGGCCGCTTGGGCACAGGGAGAGGTTGTAAATCTCCAGCGCCGGGTCTGTTTGATGACTTGGACCGTGCACACACATCACATGCAGCAGTGAACTCGCGGACATCCCTCCTCATGGACGGCCACCAGAGAGCCCGACGGAGGAACTGGAGGGTACGGGCTTGTCCTTGATGTCCGGCGAGCCGTGAACAATGCCCCCACATGGGCAGGGGTGATATGAAAGTTGTATGGCTCGAAAAAGAGGGCCCACCGAGCTTGACGAGGGTTGAGTTGGCGGGCAGTCTGTAGATGAATGAGATTCTGGTGGTCGGTGCAGATCAGAAAGGGATCGATGGTCCCCAAGAGCCACTTCCGCCATTCCTCCAGAGCCCATTTTATAGCCAGCAGTTCTCTGTCGCCGACCCCATAGTTCTGCTGTGTGGGGGAAAACTTCCGGGAGAAGTAGGCGCATGGGTGGAGCTTAGAGTCTGGACCCCGTTGCAAGAGGATGGCCCCTGCTCCCACATCAGAGGCGTCCACCTCCACGACGAAGGGCCGGGTCTGGTCCGAGTGGAGGAGGATGGGTTCCTTAGTAAAACGTCCGACCAGATCATGGAAAGCCCGGACAGCCTCTGGAGTAAGCCGAAAAGGGCGAGGCTGGTTGGTGGCTTTGGTGAGTGAGGTCAGAGGTGCTGCGAGGGAGCTGAAGTTGCGTATAAACCTCCGACAAAAGTTTAAGAAACCCAGGGAGCTTTGCAACCGCTTCGGGGTCGTGGGTAGAGGCCACTGAGCTACTGCCTGAACCTTCTGAGGGTCCATCTTCAGGCCCCGGGAGGAGATGGTAAAACCCAGGAAGGAGGTGGACTCCTGGTGAAACGCACACTTCTCCAGTTTGCAGTACAGTCCATGATCCAGGAGGCGGGACAGAACAGCTTGAACATGCCGGATGTGCTCTTCGGCCGTGCGGGAGTAGATGAGGATGTCATCTAGATAAACAAAGACCCAGCGGCCCAACATGTCTCTCAGCACATCTGTAATGAACCGCTGGAAGATGGCGGGGCTGTTGCAGAGGCCAAAAGGCATCACCAAATATTCATAGTGGCCGGTGGGCGTGATAAAGGCGGTCTTCCACTCCTCACCTTCCTTGTGTTGTAAGCGCTGCGCAGGTCCAGTTTAGTGAATACAGCGGCTTGTGTGATGGCGTCCAGGGCGGTGCCCATGAGAGGGAGAGGGTGACAGTCCCGGATCGTTATTTTATTTAACCCTCTACAGGGCCGGAGATCCCCCTCCTTCTTCTTTACAAAGAAAAACCCCGCGGCCCCGGGGGATGTTGAGGGACAGACGAATCCCTTCTGGAGGGCATCAGTTATATAATTGTCCATTGCCCAGGTCTCCGCCGGAGAGAGGGAGAACAAGCGACCCCGGGGGGGGGGGGGGGGTGCCGGGCTGGAGCCTGATCTCCAAGTCATAGGATCGATGAGGAGGTAGCCTGGTAGTGGGTTCTTTAGCGAAGACCTGAGCGAGGTCGTGGTATTGAGGAGGGACGAGCGTCAGGTCTACGTCTTTGGGAGGAGCTGCTCCAGTCCGAGGTGTAGAGGAGCCCCAGTGGTTCTGGCAACCTGTGCCCCAGGCCAGGACCTTACTGGTGGACCAGGAGATGTGAGGCGCATGATGCCAGAACCAGGAGTGACCCAGGATGAGTGGTGTAGCCGGAGCCTGGATGACCAGGAAGTGGAGGGTCTCCAAGTGTTGGTCAATAGTCATGTGGAGA